GAGAGTGCGCTGTGGGGTGGCGGACCCCCCCGGCCTCCGGAGCCGCTCAGGGGGAGCTCGGTGTTTGCCTCCAGCCCTTCTCTACCGGAGGATCAGGTTCCTCCCCTCCTCCCCCTCCAGCTCCGGCCGCCGCCGCCGCTGCCGCCTCCTTCTTGCATGACACAGCAGAACCGCAGCTGCCGCAGCAAGTCCAAACCATCCGCCCAGGAAGCGCCGCAACCGGGACTCGGGAGGGGCGGAGGGGGCGAGGCAGGGGCAGCGGCCCAGGGGATCCTCGGCCCCACTTTGCACCATACACTCTTTTCCCAACCCAGGGGCACGCGAACAAAACGTGGCTAAACCTGACCAGGCCGAGCGGTGGAGGAATGTTGGGGCTTGGCTGCAGAAGGGATGGGACCAGAGAGAAGGGTGTGAAGGAGTGGCCCCAGTAAGGGGCAGGACATTTCAGGTAAAGAAAGGTAAGAAGCCCAGAAGTCAAGGGCCAGACTACGAAGGGGATTAAAGGAGGTTCAAGAGAGGTAAGGAGGTAGAGCTGCTGAGAGGAGCGAGCAAGCTGGGAAGGGCTGGAGGTGGGGGAGCTGCTGGGGAAGGAGGCCGGGAGGGTTTGGAGAGGGTGGGTAAATACTCAGGCAGAAAAGGGAAGGGAGGGTGTGAAAGAATTAGGCATGAGACTGGGGTACCAAGTGGGGGCCCTATTCTAGAATTAAGGGGAGGTGAGGGAGACCCCTTCAAAGGGCTGATGAGGTAAACTGATGGGGTCGGAAGAGATGTAGCCAAGGTAAGGCCAGAAGAAAGGGTGCTCTTCCATCCCACTCAAGTTTCTTGCCAAGTTTCTTCATGGTTCTGCCAAGTCAGATTTCCATATAAAACAGATCATGAGCTACAACATACAGGTAGCTGTCTAGTTTAGAATTACAGGATAAAACTCCGTGGCTCATTAAAAAAAGTCTTAAGCAGAAATGTGGGGTGTAAGGTACTCACTCCTAAAGGAGTTGCCAGGCAGTAATACCAAGAGTGCTCAAAACCATGCCAGTTTCCATACATCGCCGGACTTGAGGAAGTCTTTGAAAGTGTTAAGTGGTTCAGTTAAATGTTAGAGATGATGATGACAAAATGAGTGGTTCGAAATACTGCCACGCACCTGCTTTTATCTTTGGCTCTATACACACCCTCCTGGATGGCTATATAATTTCTAGTGTCTAGCATGTACATTAAGGGATAAATATGTTTTTCTGATTATTTTATTTCCCACCAAACACACCAGGCACTCTACAGCAGATGGGCTTCTAAAAGAATGTGGTCAGGAACAAGCAAAAACTGCCACTTTGGTTTTCTCTGTACCTTCCAGGTCATATCTTCCTACCTCACTTCCTGACACAAACAAGTTTTTACTGTTGTCAGCAACAAAGCCCTAATATAGCTGCGGAAGAAAAAAAAAAAACCTGCATCATTGCCTTTTGCCTCCTGCAAGCATCAACAGAGTTACCGGAGGAATGTAATTCCAGAAAGCTTTAAAGCTGGTGGTGATGGTAATTATGTATCAAATGCCTGATTCTATTTCTGTTATTATTGTTCTGTCATTTCTGTTCTACCAGCGGTGCGGAGGGACGAACCCGGTTTTTCTTTCTGACTGTGTACAATTTCATCAGGCCTGATGGAAAACTCATTGCTCTTGGGGGAACGAAGTAGGAGCCACGAAATGTCATTTTAACAGAGCGTGGGTTTGGTGACAGTAGCAAAGGATTTAAGGACGCTCCTTCTGTTCGGCTTCCTATGTCATGAGCGCGAGGCTCCACGCACGCACAGACGCCACAGCTCCCGGATGCTGTGGCTCCCTTATCTGGGCTTCTGCAGCGCCACAAGCCCCTCCGGGACGCTGCGAGGGGTTCCCGGTGGGTGGTGGTACAAACGATGCGGCCGCCGGTGCCGCCCCCCCCTCCCCGCGG